CCACTCTGGGATGGGTTTGGTGGCCCTGAGGGGACTCTGGTGGCCCCTGGGACACTTTGGTGGCCCTGAGGGGACTCTGGTGGCCCATGAAGGGACACGGACACCCTGAGGGGACTCTGGTGGCCCCTGGGACGCTTTGGTGGCCTTTGGGGGAACTTTGGTGGCCCAGGGGTGACAAAGGAGCCCTTGGTGGCCCACAGGAGCATTCGGTGGCCCATGAGGGGACTTTGGTGGCCCCTGAAGGGTGTTGGTGGCCCATGAGGGGACAGGGCCACCCCAAGGGGACTCTGGTGGCCCCTGGGACGCTTTGGTGGCCTTTGGGGGAACTTTGGTGGCCCAGGGGTGACAAAGGAGCCCTTGGTGGCCCACAGGAGCATTCGGTGGCCCATGAGGGGACTTCGGTGGCCCCTGAAGGGTGTTGGTGGCCCATGAGGGGACAGGGCCCCCCTGAGGGGACCCTGGTGGCCCCTGAGAAGCTTTGGTGGCCCAGGAGGGGACTCTGGTGGCCCTGGGTCAGCTTTGGTGGCCCCAGAGCAGATTTGGTGGCCCAGGAGGGGACTCTGGTGGCCCCTTGGACACTTTGGTGGCCCTGAGGGGACTTTGGTGGCCCGTGAGGGGACAAGGCCACCCCTGAGAGGTCTCTGGTGGCCTCTGGGACACTTTGGTGGCCCCTGGGACACTTTGGTGGCCCCTTAAAGGCCCATGGTGGCCCAGGGGTGACAAAGGAGCCCTTGGTGGCCCTGAGGGGACTTTGGTGGCCCTGAGGGGACAGGGACACCCCAAGGGGACTCTGGTGGCCCCTTGGACACTTTGGTGGCCCTGGGTCAGATTTGGTGGCCCATGAGGGGACAGGGCCACCCTGAGGGGACTCTGGTGGCCCCTGAGAAGCTTTGGTGGCCCTTGGGGGGACTTTGGTGGCCCTTGAGGGGACAGGGCCACCCCGAGGGGGTTTGGTGGCCCTGAGGGGACTCTGGTGGCTCCTGGGACACTTTGGTGGCCCTTGGAGGGACTTTGGTGGCCCTTGAAGGGACAAGGCCACCCTGAGGGGACTTTGACGGCCCCTGGGACAGTTTTGGTGGCCCTGGGGCAGATTTAGTGGCCCACGAGGGGACAGGGACACTCTGGGACACTTTTGGTGGCCCTGAGGTGACTCTGGTGGCTCCTGGGACACTTTGGTGGCCCCGGAGCAGATTTGGTGGCCCATGAGGGGACAGAGCCACTCTGGGATGGGTTTGGTGGCCCTGGGACAGTTTTGGTGGCCCCTGGGACAGTTTTGGTGGCCCTGGGGCAGATTTAGTGGCCCACGAGGGGACAGGGACACTCTGGGACACTGTTGGTGGCCCTGAGGTGACATCGGTGGCCCTCGATGAGCCCTGAAGGGACTGGGGGATGGCAGAGGCTGTCCCCAAGGGGGGTGACAGGGCCACCAGGGGGGTGGCAGTGACACCAGGGGGGTGACAGGGCCACCAGGGGGGTGTGACAAGGCCACAAGGGGGCTGGCAGTGCCACCAGAGGTTGTCCCCGTGTCCCCAAGGGGGTGGCGCTGTCCCCTCAGAGTGTCCCTGTGTCCCCAAGGGGGTGGCACTGTCCCCTGGGGGTGTCCCTGTCCCCAAAACCATGTCCCCATGTCCCCAAGGGCTGTCCCTGTCCCCTCAGAGTGTCCCCAAGGGGGTGGCATTGTCCCCAAGGGCTGTCCCTGTCCCCAAGAGCTGTCCCTGTCCCCAAAGGGCTGTCCCTGTCCCCTCAGAGTGTCCCCAAGGAGGTGGCACTGTCCCCTCAGGCTCCCCCCGTGTCCCCAGGGCTGTCCCTGTCCCCAAAGCCATGTCCCCCTGTCCCCCTCAGCCTCCCCCCGTGTCCCCTCAGGCTCCCCCCGTGTCCCCAGGGCTGTCCCTGTCGGAGCGGCCGCGGAAGGAGCGGAGGGAGCGGCGGGGCCGCCGCCGGCATCGCGCTCCTCCGGCCCGGACATCGCCGCCATCGCCGCCGCCTCACCCCGCCGCCATCTTGGCCGCCCTCACGGCTTCCCCTCAGGGGTGGAGCCAATCGGAGGCAGAGGGAGGAGGAGCGGGAAAAGGGGGAGCCAATGGGAGGGCGAGGAGGGAGGAGCGAAGGGTGAGGCGGCCAATGGGAGGGCGAGGTATGGAGTTGGGGGCGGGGATTTCAACGGCAGGACCGGCGGCTGCCGGTAGAGTGTCCCTGTCCCCTCGGGGCTGTCCCCAAGGGGTGTCCCTGTCCCCAGGGCTGTCCCTGTCCCCTCAGGGCTGTCCCTGTCCCCAAGGGCTGTCCCTGTCCCCAAAGCCATGTCCCCCTGTCCCCCTCAGGCTCCCCCCGTGTCCCCGGGCTGTCCCCTGACCTGGTAGACGGAGGCCTTGGGCAGGTCGAGGCACACGGTGCAGCAGAGCACGGAGTAGAGGCGCTCCTCCAGCTTCACGCTGCCCGCCGCCCCCTCCGCGCCGCCGCCGCCGCTCCCGGCCGCCCTCAGCCGCTTCTTGGGCGGCGCGTCGGCATCGGCGCCCGCCTCCAGCAGCAGCGCCGCCGCCTCCTCCGCGCCG